AAAATAGAATAAATAATTATTATTAATCCTACTTTAGACAATGTCACTATGACCCACAATGCACTTTAGTCTTGGAATGCTTTATTCAGTGTGCAGTATTCRGCATCCAACATTTTTGAAATAGCTGTATAATAAAGCTACAGCTGTACGATGCCACCCAATCTGTACCCATGACTGATTTCCTCAGCAGGGGATACATAGTCATTTGCATCTACAAAAACACCAGACATCAAATGTTTTCTAACTGGCTCCTGAAACCTGTATGTATTTTTGCTAAACATCAATGTTTGTCGATTTCGAAACAAACTACAACTATGTTGATGTTTTAGCCATTAAACATACAAGTTTTCGGAGCCAGTTAGAACATGGTCTGCTGTYGACGGCTAGATGCGAATGACAGTGTTATGATGTGTGTGACCTCATATCACGTTTTAATGCGTAATGAAGTAAAAAATGAAAGGGAAAAAACAGTTGAAAGTAAAGTGAAATAATGAATGTTTACTAAATTGGGAAAAAATGCTTCTTTACAGGAGGCCGGTGACAGGAACATCTACCATCGTTATTGTTTAGAGAGAGCTGCAACACACTTAGCTCATGTTTTTACTACTGTATCACGTATAACTGCCGATGAAGCAGAGCACTTATTGAAGMGAAAAGCAGGCAAGTATTATGGAGGCATTCTAGCTGATATCTGTATCCTCTTGCAGGGGCGGTTCCAGGAATTTGTTCAGGAAGGGGTGCACTGCACAAAGTTAACCCAGGGAGGGGTGCACCCCTAAGAATCTAAGGAAAAAAACATTATTTTGCATTGGTTATCTTCGAAGTAGGGGTACAGAGTTGAACCAGGGAGGGGTGTGCACCCCCTGCACCCCTCCCTTGGATCTGCCACTGTCTTGAATACGAACCCCAGTTCTTCAAAGGCCTTTACAAAATTAATGGTCTATTAGCAGAGTGTGAAGTACCAGAAAATATCTAAAGCTCAGTTTCCTTTCTTTGTTCTTAGATCTTGTCCTGCCAAATGGACTGAATGTCGTAAAGTACATGTAAGTTATCAGCCTCATATAGTAACCAAACCATTTTTCCATCAAACACTGAAGCAACCAGTTCTAGAAGGAACAAAGTCAGGGCTCAGCTAACTCACAGATCCAGTTGGAATTGGATCCAGCTTGTTGTGTTCAATGGAGGGATGAAAACCAGAAAACTTGAAGAAAACCCCTTGAATAAAGAGTGATAAAACTGAACCTGAGATCCAGAAACCCTAACAAGCTAAATTCCAATTCTATAGACCTGTGAATAGACCTCTTCGGCTCTGACATAATGTTTTCCCATTTCAGACCACGTGTCATTCCCTAGAGTATCATTTCTTTGTTTAAGGTTTGCRCTTGGTTGCACATGAGAAGACACATGAATATGGATACAGCTCAAACAAAGAATCTTATTCTCAAGGGAATGACAGGTGGTCTGAAATGGGAAAACATTACCCCAAGCTGAAGAGATCTATATTAGCCATACCCTGACTTTGATCAGAGGACAATGATGATAATATTATATTCCTATTGATTCTTTGTTTCAGTGCATTGCATGAGTTTCAGAATCTTCATGCCAAGTCCAAAGACAAAATCAGTGACTTTGTCAGAGGCCATTTTTATGGGTGAGTCAAACTTATTTCAAGTACTGAGCAAAATAGGTCACCAACTCTGAGGTCTTTTGAATGTTGTATGCATCAACCAATAGCATGTCAACATTCTCTCTAAAGATTGTCCAGCTCCAGAAAAAATCATTACATACTACCAGCAGATGAACATACTAAATATTAATACATATTGTTTATTTTACCTATTTTCCAGGCACTTTGACTTTGATTTGGATAAGACATTATATTTCTTTGCCGCTGGGAGGTAAACAGTGTTTATTGCTTGCTTTCTGATTGGTTGGGGGGATGTGCTTTATTAGAGCACACAGCACAGTGGGCACTTTCTATTTTATCACATATATCCAAAATAACAGATTTTGATTTGTATTTTAAAATTAACAAAAATGCTTGTTCTGCTGTGCAAGGCTGTAACCATAAATTTTACAGGGAGGGTGCACATCTAATAAAATCAAAGAGTAAAAGGTTACCAAAAGAAAGCAGAACCAAAAAAAAAAAAGGTTGATGAGCGGACCTTAAGCTTTTAGAGGGTTGGGGGGGAATGCATGTGCAAAAAAAAAAAGGAGATGGATGAACGGACCTTAACCTTTTATGGGGGGTCGCACGTGCACCCAGTGCTCCCCCCTTAGTTACGGCCCTGCTGTGTACAATTATAAGGTAATTGGGGATTGGCAGAACACTAGAGAAGTGTTGAGAAGCACTCCTACATGTCATGCTTCTCCTTAGAACACTTCTTTCATGTTTTGCCAATTTCTAACTGGACACAGTATATATGTGCACAYGTTTTTGATTTCTTCATTTTTAAACTTGCATTCCTTTGCATTTTGTTCCCAGAAGAAAGTGAAGTAAATAACACATGTAACTTGGTTTTTAAATGTCTTAAAGGTATGAGTACTTCAACAAGGGAGCAGACTTATTCATCGAAGCTTTAGCAAGACTCAACCATCACTTGAAGGTAAACAAATAATATCTGCTGTGAGAAAGATTATCAGAAGAGGAAGAAAATATTGATCTTTTCTTTCCATTTTGCGCTTCCCACTTTTATTCTTCTTCAAACCTTCCACTCTTATTGCTTTTATTCCCCCTGAATGTTTTTAGGGAATATAAATATTGCTGTAAACAAATTTTACATTGCAATGTTCAATAAAACGTTTCTCTGTATAAACATGATGTATAAAAACAAAATTTGATGCAATCCTTTTTTTCRTTATCAGAGATTCATTTTATACACCATTTATTTATCTATTACACCTGGATGCCATAAATGCATTTAAATAAGTACACAGAACCTGATCCAGCCATACAAATTTTCGTTCGGATAGCTCAGGTCCATGTGAACAGAACCCCTAAATGTACAATTGTTTAAACATTCATCCAGTACTGCGTAAACACAGCCAATACGCATTAGAAGACCTTAATTTCATTGTCTCCTTTTGTGTCTATTTTTCTATTACACGTTGACTAGTATTTTTCATTTCACGGTTTAATGTCTTCACTCTATTTTCTCATCAGTCTACAGGCTCAGACATGACTGTTGTGGCCTTCATGATATTCCCTACTTCTACTAGTAACTTCAATGTGGATTCTCTTCGAGGACAGGCTGTTACCAAGCAACTCAAGTAAGTTACAATCTTCTAATTCATTTGCCCAAAGCAGTTCATTTCTTGACTCATGGACAGTCATAGTGAGGATATGAATTTTCATTAAGAATTCTTTTATTTATATTCATTTTTATTAAGACATGCATACATTTTTTAGTTTACCCGAAGAGCAAAGGCTCACCAAGGGGGGGGGAGGGGCTCACAAAGAAAGAAATCTTAAAATTCTAAAATTCCTCTTAATTTAATTCTTTGGTTGATATGTAATATATACAGTATGAGTGGCCGTGTTGTATATCTGATACAACACGGACACGAATACTATATATGACTTATCAAACGTCTAGGTTAGTTCCTTTGTGTTTCACTAAAATTTTCAAAATTAAAGTGAATTTGGCCAAGAAAATCCAACTTAAAGTTTATGCAAATAAACACAGTTTTGTATCAGATTTACACGGTTGTGATTTCTGTTGTGTTTTCCTTATGAATTATTAATGAGTTTGATATAGATATTTATTTATTACACACAATTAGATTTTTTCAACCAAAAATGCCACTCATATTGGTATTATCTCATAGCAGTGTTTTACTTAGATCAGCACAGAGGCTCTTTCAGGATATCAATAAAAAGGGGTCTATTAACCATTGACTTTGGTTTGTTGCAATTTTGATCTGTGAGTCAGTAGTGTTGTACTTAGATCAGCACAGACACTGTTTCAGGGTATCAATAAAAAGGGGTCTATTAACCATTAATTTTGGTTTGTTATAGAGAGACAGTAACTGAGATCCAAGACAAGATTAGCAAGAGAATATACGAGTCCTGTGTCAAGTAAGGCCTTTCTTGTTTGTGTACCATTTTCTTATGACTTCTTATATACTCATTATGGCAAAGCTTAAGATTACTGTTGATAAAAACTATGCAAAGGTTTTACCTGTCTGTAATTTCCTTTACTGACCATAGTTATGCGTCTTGCCACGTAGGCTTGACTGTTGCCTTACTTTAGGCTGACTGTGTGCATTCGTTGTTGTCTTTTTCTCAGAGGTGTAGTACCTACGGGGAATGAGCTCTTGACTCCTGATGATATCGTCAGACTAAAGAGATGTGTTCTTGGTGCACAGGTACATAGTTATGTCCCTCCCTGCCTCCCTAATTTATTTATTTATTCATTTATTTATTTATTTGTTTATGCGCATTTCATTCACACCTTCAGTCAATCTGTAATTTGTTCATTCCTCAACTTGTTTACTTGTTGATTTTTTTGTTTACTTTTTTACTTGTTTTAGTCTGTTAATCTGTCAGTCACTATTCCTATTTTCATTCATCCATCCCTCCCTCCTCCCTCCCTCCCCCCCTCCATCCTTCCTTCTCTCCCTCTGTCCATCCATCCATTCATCCCTCCATCCATCCATCTATCCATCCATCCATCCATCCATCCATTTACCGATCCACCCCCCTACCATGTTAAATACTATAGCAAATTCTCTTGTATTATAGCGTCCCAGTCTACCACCTGTGGTGACCCACAATGTCAATGATAGTTCTGTGGATCCTATTCTTTGCCACATCAGAAGAACCCAGCTCTTTAATGGACCTCACGAACGAGTCAAGGCAAGTTATTCATAACTGGGTTTCCTGTGGTAAACAGGATTGGTTTTTATGTGACATTATAGACCTTTTTGTTTCGTAAATACTGCTGTGTTCCTTGATTACAGACTCATTTGCTCAGGCTAAGCCTCGTATCAGTGTCTAAATATTCACAAATACCAACCGTAAAGTAAAGAATGCACAACTTCAACAATACAAACACTTTGAAATTCCACTCACCTTCACTGGAACACAGGAACATTCTTCACAAAATCGAGCCCTGAGCAACAGAGAACTCGAGACTAGAGTATTGATTGTTTCTTTCCAAAGTGGGTTCCCTGTGGTAGTGAAGCATTGACCAATCATGGGTTCCCTGTGTGGTGACCAATTGCTACACCGTCCAATCGTGAGTGATTTTATTGTTTTACAGGTTGTCTTCCACCCAGAGTTTCTGTCCAACATCAACCCTCTGTTGGCCATGGACTACAGTGAATTCGTTCGTGGGTGCCATATGGGTGTCTTCCCTTCGTATTATGAGCCATGGGGCTATACCCCTGGTAGGTGGCCCCACCTTCAATCCACCCCCCCCCCCCACCCCCTCCTCCTTGAATGTACGGTCTTAAAAACTACTACTGTAAAACCTTGTTAGAGCGACTCATATTTTAAGTGCTTATGAGCCTTATTTTTTTACTTTTTTATATCGAAATATAAGCTATTCTAAGAAACGT